AGCAGAAATTTTTGTATCCAAGCACGCCCTTAATGTCCATGGAATTGCATGATAATTCTCATAAACACTACTTTACTGGAGCAAGTTCCTGGTGATTTAGTGACATTCTGAAAAAGGCAAATCAGATTTACCTCTGGATAGAACTGTTCTAACCCAATTTCTTTGGCTTTCGATTTTTCAGTGAGGATACAAGCAGAAGGAGGTCTCTAAGGAGTAGAGTGCCGAAGGATGGGGATAAGTCTCTTTACGGTTACGGCCTTGATCGGATATTAAGCTGCAAGTTCCCTACACTGAAGCTTGTGATGGCCATTATCACTATTGGTGCATTTTTCACTCTCCTATGTTCTCCGTCGATTCATGAAACAGATCATATGTCCAGCTCTCATTCTAGGTAATTTATGCACACATATATATAGACCGTGTTGTTAATAGTGCTTATCATATGGTGTTATTTATCCCATCTCATTGAGAAAATTGCAAGAACCAAGTGCATGTTTGCCAATGGTATTCCAATTTGATTGCTTGTGATCGATCTTACTCCCTCTGGCCCAGAATTATGAATCGTTCCCGTCTAAAAAAAATTCTGCAAATAGCTTTCATTTTCTGTCCAAGTTGCCTGTAGTGATCGGATAATACTTATCACTTGACCTGATTGAGGGCAAATGTGTCATTTCATCTTCTTTCACTATCCTGGTGGCAGGTCGAGCTCGGTAGATAAATGGATAAGGGACAAATTCGGGATAGACCAAAGCTATTCGTCTCATTTAGACATAAACTGGGGCGAAGTTTCTGTTGTGATCGGGAAATTAACCGACAGGGACAGTTACAAAGGAATAGGGCTGTTAAATTTCAACGAACATGAAATCGACGAGTGGAAGCAGTTATTGCCCGATACCGAGCACGTCGTACTTGCCATGGACTACGTCTCGCCTAATATCACTTGGGAAACACTGTACCCCGAATGGCTGGACGAGGAAGAGGAATTCGAAGTGCCAACCTGTCCTGATCTGCCCAGAATCAGCTTTGCTGGCAAACCGCGATTGGACCTTATAGCGGTGAAGCTTCCATGCAATAAATCGGGCAAGTGGTCGAGGGATGTGGCTCGTCTGCACCTGCAGCTGGAAGCTGCCAGGCTGGCAGCTACCGCCAAGGGGAACCACTCCGTGCATGTTCTTCTCTTAACCGAATGTTTCCCTATCCCGAACCTGTTCACTTGCAGAGAGCTGGTTGTGAGGGAAGGTAACGTGTGGCTTTATAAGCCGAGTCTGAGTAAATTGAGAGAGAAGGTCCGCCTACCTGTCGGGTCGTGTGAACTCTCACTTCCTCTAAATGCTGAAGGTTAGATCAATTATAAGTTCTACTACACACATTTCATATAGTTCCATTTTTTCATAAGAGCATTTTAAATGCAAGCTAAGGGTGCGATTGAATGCATAAATACTTTTTATTGCTATTCCACTAAAAGAAAAGTTCCCGATAGAATGTGTCGTTGATTGTAAAATACGTCATTTGTTGTTAGTTGATACTTTAATATGAAATTATAACCCTGACTGAAAAAATTGACAAAATAGAACTAAAACTCGACTTTTTTGCTTCCTTTAGCTGGTGTGAAGCTTTTTCACTTGTTAGTTAACACACTCTCAAAATTGTGGTATCTCTCTCCTTGCAGAAAAGTCTTACTCGGGCAGCAACCCGAAGCGCGAGGCCTACGCAACAATCCTTCACTCGGCCCACGCGTATGTGTGTGGGGCCATCACGGCAGCACAGAGCATCCGCATGTCGGGATCATCTCGTGACCTCATCGTCCTCGTCGATGATGCCATCACCCCACATCACCGTGCCGGCCTGGAGTCCGCCGGCTGGAAGGTCCATCCCATCCTCCGCATTCGCAACCCCAAAGCCGAGCCCGAAGCCTACAATGAGTGGAACTACAGCAAGTTCCGCCTCTGGCAGCTCACCGAATATGACAAGATTGTCTTCATCGATGCCGACCTCCTCATCCTCCGCAACATTGACTTCCTTTTTCAGGTAAAAGCTTTTATGGCTATGTTTGGTAAAACTAGCTGATAAGCTAGCTAATAGCTTATATGTAATTTTCAAGCTTATAGCTTAGGACTTATAGCTAAAAAGCTAGCTTATATGATAAAAGTGTTTGGTAAAATTAGCTGATAAGCTAGCTGAAATAAAAAATTCAACTAGTTTATTTGAAAAGCTACATAAAGAAGCTTATGAGATAACCTCAAACTTTTTTAAAAAAGCTCGTCCTACCAAACGAGGTTTATTTGAATACAAGAAGCTTATAAGTTAACTAAATAAGCTATAAGCTAACTTATTTGACTACCAAACATAGCCTATAGTGCACGAAAGTTCAAAACTAATGCATTTTGAAGTATATTTATTAATTTGTGTAATAACTAATAACTGCCCTTTTCAGATGCCAGAGATTTCTGCCACGGGGAACAACGCCACGCTCTTCAACTCGGGCGTGATGGTAATTGAGCCTTCGGAATGCACGTTCCAACTCCTGATGGACCATATAAACGAGATCGAGTCGTACAACGGTGGGGATCAAGGCTACCTCAACGAGGTCTTCACGTGGTGGCACCGAATTCCGAAGCGTATGAATTTCTTGAAGCATTTCTGGGAAGGGGACGAGGATTGGAGGAAGGAGATGAAGACCCGAATGTTCGGTGCCGACCCGCCCGTGCTCTACGTGCTCCACTACCTGGGGCTCAAGCCCTGGCTTTGCTTTCGGGACTATGACTGTAACTGGAATGTGGAGCTGCTGAGGGAGTTCGCAAGTGACGTGGCGCACGCGACGTGGTGGAGGGTCCACGACGCGATGCCGGGGGAGCTGCAGAGGTACTGTTTGCTGAGGTCGAAGCAGAAGGCGGCGCTCGAGTGGGACCGGAGGCAGGCTGAGAAGGGGAACTTTAGCGACGGGCACTGGCGGGTGAAGGTGAAGGACGAGCGGCTGAGGACGTGTTTCGAGGATTTTTGCTTCTGGGAGAGTATGCTGTGGCATTGGGGGGAGACAAATTGGACGGATAATGGGACGGCGGGTGGGGTCCAGTTGACGCCTCCGGGGAAAAAGACGGTTTCATTACTCTCTTCTGTGTAATTTTTGTT